TACAAAACTAAAATGCAGCTTACGACCATGATAAAGTAACAGATTGGAAGTATCGCTTCAGAACACAGAGAACAACAATGAACTGAGAAATTCCAAACGTCTGGACTATACACACATATTTTACCCAGGTTCCTTTGGAACCAGTTCGTTCGACAACTAGGTTTATCAGAAACAATCATCAGTCACGTCCAGGATGGTTTGATATTGAATGACCAAATCACTCACCCAATGGGGATACATACTCCCCGAGCATCTGCTCTAGTTTCAGTCCCTAGAATAACACCCTCAGAACACACAGTGTAACCACGTCAAGACATGGTCCACAACACTAACTGCAGGATAACACCAGTCAAGTGTTAATCAGTTTAAGCAATCAACACTTTTAGTTCCCAAGACAGAAAGTTAATGGTTCAGTTGTGATCAGTATGTGCCATACTCTAAGTGTAAGAGATGATTATACTACCTGGTTCCCGAGACCGGAGTAGGTGGGAAGGGGCTCAAACATGGAACTTAATGGCAGAAATTCAAACGTTTCAACACACTTCAAATTAAGTTAGTTAACTTCACACTTTATCCAACTTCAATGTTAATATTTCTATATCACATTTAACTCAAACAAAAATAAACTACATACCTTTGGCAAGAGCCAAAATAAGTGTATTGTATGTAAATTGATTCATTGGGATATTTTTTTCCATTAAACGACGCCAGAAAAGATACACTTTATGAAGTGCAGGTCCACCAAAGTTATCTGGTGACATGTCTGGAGCCAACGCTTTCTGAAGAGCCAGCCTATGTAATAAAAATAATAAATAGACACAGTTGTAGGGGAATCGAATAATTCATTTCTTGTCTCATTTCCAGTTAATGTTAATAAAGAAAGCTCAAGGAAGTAAAATCTTATTTGACACCAATATAAAAATAAAAATCTGGACGGCATTGTGACGGTGATAGAAGTTCAAATAATTGACTTTATCACAGTCAAGCTGTGAAATTGTAAACCATGTGTATATAATAAAAGACATGATATATTGGATATTTTAAACAAAATAAATCAAGAAATATCTCCAAGCACAAAGAGAGAGTTTTACACCATTTCCTCAATATGAATACAACTAATTGTTAGTCATTATCTATAATTTCTCGAAATATTTTCTAGAAACCGCAAAACCAAACAACACTGATATCGAACAAAACATTCAGAAAGACATTAACCCAAAACTCATATATAAAGAGCAACTGTGGTGTTTAGCAGCTATGATTCACATAATCGCTGAAAGTACACTTCACAACAGGTTAATGGGCATAATGTCCGAGTGCAGCTCGACAATGCTTGAAATTTCATACTTACTAGGATGGGAAAAACATCCTAAAATCATTGGGGAATGAAACACTGTCGAAAACCGGTTGCAAAGTTCATGGTAGATCCCAACAAACATCCATATTCATACATCGTTTTCAAATATAGGTGTCAGGAGTCACCATAACCACTAGGAAAATTCTCTAAAGCTAAGAGTCTACGAGTCCCGATAACTACTACGTCGAAACAGTTCACTCGGAATATTAACAATCAACCACACAATAAACACCAAATGTTTCCCAGGAATACTGTTTAAAATATCTTGTTTGTTCTTCATGTTCACAATCTCTATTCTTAAATTTCTTCAACAAGTCTACCGTTCACATTCATCGCAAACGAATGTCGCTTTTCCTTCGTGACTTCATTACTTCACATTTCAGTGTAATTCGTTTTATATTTTCTAAGGTCACTACATACACACGAGTTGCGTAGTAATATCAACTCCTATACAAATAGTAAACTCTCTCTTGTAAAAGACCAATTTCATTCATCTTATTACCTACGTGCGTTATTAACAGATGAAGCATTATAAATAAATAATATATTTGTGATATCCCAATGAGTAGAAAAATTACATTTACTGACGTTTCGTGACTTAGTGTAAACCACTTCTTCAGAGAATTAAAAAAGTGGCTTACACTAAGTCACGATACGTCAGAAAACCTCATTTTTCTACTCATTGAGATATTACAAATATATTATTTATTTATAACAATCTACCCAATGCTCAATTTATTCGAAATTATCAAATCAAACCTTGATAATGATACCTACAGATGAAGCAATGTTGTTGTCACTCATAAATAAGTGTTGCATCCCAGTTTATCATCAGACCAAATCAAACTACAACAAGTTCCCTTTTAACTTTACTTAATTAACTGCCTCATCTCTTGGAACGTGGAGGTTCAGTTCAGTAAAGCACAAATAAGTGAACAGAAAAACTAATATAAGGCAAATCAACGAGTAGTAAATGTATAAATAGTTGGATTTGAATCGACAACTGCATCTCTGTGCTAATGTGGTATGGCAACTCGAACTGATGTACGTACGTACGAAGTTCTACGTTGTTACTGACTGACATAGTTGGACTGAGTCGTTATTTCTTCAACGAAAAAGGCATTTATACATCATTATGATTCCCATGCAAAATACAACTTACATTTTACGCTGTAATAACAATGAATGGTTCTCAGTACGATTTACAACAGGTGGCATAAAAGTTCTATTCTTTCGAAACCATGTTGCAATATCCTCAGCGCAAGCGCTAAACAATAAATTCATCATAATTCAATAAATCACATATGTTGATGTGTCAGCAAATAGAAACTAAAACATATAGGATACACTATTTACTAATTTAGTAAAATCTATAGTAAATGAATTTTAAAAAACGCTGAGACTCAAATTTCCTATACTCAGAACATTATTTAGTCACGTAAGTTATAGGTGTAAGAAAATACTATTGTCTGTTAGAGAGGACGATAACCTACCTCAAAAATCACTCACGAAGTACATATTTATGCACTCAGTTTCGAGCCATACTGTTTGTATGAAACCTGGTCACAGTAAACATGTACCCAAAGACAAGTAATTGAGGTGAGTGTTAGAACCTGCTCCAATTACACGGACTATATATAATCAATAGTAAGCATTTCTACAGCCGACCAATGTTCATCAGTAATTTTAAGGATAAATTATCTCATCTGACCAACTCCATGTGGGTTTATCAATTTATCCGTTCATGTGGAACCAGGTAATATAGGTCGTTCAATGCTTACTTTATCCCAAAGAATTCAAGATTACTCGGCTTGGCTATAAAGAGGAGGAAACGGGTCAACAAGAAGCTCAATAATCGAACACCGTGTGAACACAGGTCACTCAATCAAAGTGGACTCTGCATTTAAAGTCTTATATACAAGGTAAGTAGAAGGCTTCTAAAGACAGTTACATTGCATCTTATTAACATTGCCGAAGCAATAGCTGGAAAAAGCAGAATTATGCGGTCCAACAGAAATCGGTACAACCTCTTCTTCTACCATGGTCTTAATGTCTCACAATTTTATTTCTTCTTCATACGTTTTTTCCTTCACCGCCATCTGATTCCCTTTCTATTTTCACTATACACCTTTTACACCCAGCTGATTTATTTCTGTTTCAATGATCATCCTGACTACATTTTATCTTATCATGCTGAACCTCCTTTTCCCAATTATAACTTCTCTATTTATCTTCATAATGAATATTCAAAGCTTTAACAATAAAACCACAAAACTCTGCTCATAATAATCATCATATGCTCAAGAGTTATTTCCTGGAGTTCTAGTGAGAAGCAGTGACCAGTGGAGTTCAATCAGGTCTGTTGTGAGATAGTAACTCACTGAAGACAATGGTGAATGTGTCGGTCAATTTCGTGGATTGGTTGAAGTTAGACATTAGCACTGTTGGATGCAGGCTCAGTGGTCTAGAGGTTAAGTGTTCGTGCGCGAGACCGATAGATCGTGGGTTCGAATCTCGAGAGACGGCATCGTCGATGCGTACTACTGAGAAATCCCACAATAGGGCGAAATGGCCGTCCAGTGCTTTCAGGTTTTCCATGGTAGTCGAGCTTCAATTGACTCATGAACTCAACTATTAAACTACTAAAATATACACAAAGCCCTTTTCTGATAATATTATCAGTTTCCCTGATAAAAATAACGCTTCAATACTTGTGTTTATTCTACCTCACTGTTACCATATTTAACGAAATTTTATTATCGCCATTATTGTAACTATTATCATCTTGAAAATTAAGTATATATATAAATGCATGCGCAGTTGTACAGCTGTGAAAATGAATTCACCAAAAAGAGAACTCTGCTGAGACAATCTTTCTTACTCAATGTTGAGGTGACACAACTTAAAATAAAACAATGAATAGATGCTAGTAAATCGAAAGATTTCAAGTAGTTACTAGTTTTCTTTTTAAATACAATTATCACATCAACAATCTTACCAAACAAAACAACTAACAGCATTCACATTTACTGGGAATCCTTCAAACTAACCGAAACAGACGTGAGTAAGTTGCCTGGGTTGCATCGATACCCAATTCAGTCATCTTTTTATAAACGCGAAATGCATTCTCACTGTCGCCAACTCTGGCCAAACCATCCAGAACCAAATGAGCATGAAATCTCGATGGAAGAACACGATCCTTTTCCAACATTTCAGAGAAAAATACCTACAGGAAACATTTCAATCCTGATATAAAAACGCCCAGAAATATGTGCAAGTGTGAAATAGCAAAGTAAAGCATTCCATGGTTGCAAACTATTATTTAAGGTTCAATAAAAGTTAATTTTATGAGATATCGGGTTTAGCGATTAGTGTTCGATCTTAAACCGTTAAACTGGAGTATTCAAACCCAAATTCGGTTCTCAAAGCCACCTAGAAAATCACAGGCCACCATATGAACAGTGTAGCTCGAGTCCGACTGAACAAGACCCCATTTAGCTAATGAATAACAGTTCAAAGCACTTCCCAACTCACATAAAAAGTCAGTATTATTTATGTTGGTGCAGGAAAATATAACAATTCAAATGGTAGACCAATGTAAGAAAACATTAACAACGAAAAATGGAAGAGAATAAATTCTTACAGATAATGCTGAATTTGTATCACCTGCTTTACAATAACGTTTTATTAATTCACAATAATGTTCAGGAGGATGACGACGATAAACTTTACTTAATCTTAAACAGTCAGCAGGATCTTCTTCAACTTCATCAGTACTCAATAGTTCATCGATAACTGACTTTTTTTCTGTGTTCTTAATTGATCGATTAACAAGTGACTCATGATATGGTTGTTGACACACATTATCTATTTAAAAGGAAAAAAGAACAAATAATCACAAAGTAACGACAATTTAGTTTTGTTGCATGTACTGATCACAATCGAAACGAAAAGATTCTGAATGATTTTTATAAAGATTCTAAATATAATCTAATGTTTTCACTAATGAATTATTGTTGTTTCGACTTATCTGAATATGTATTGTTCCTTTTTATTTCTTGATGTCACTTAGGAACAGTCGAGTGAAATATCGTATACAGGGAATACGATACAGTAGGATAAAACAACTCCAAACTCCATTTACTAATTATCCAGCTATTAGGAACTGTTGGTTTCCAGTCCGACTTTCCCAACTCCTCTAAATGCACTCACCTTATCCACAGTTCTGTCAGTCAGTCAGCTACAACGTACGATCAGGCACATATGTGCATTGGTCCAAGTTGCCACACCTCATTAGCATAACAAAATGAATACCAAATTCATCGAAGTAGTCACTTCAATGGTAGTAATAAATAAAAGAAAGATTGTATATAAGCATATAATACAGGGAGAGAGAATTAGTTCGTACAAAGAAAGGTATAAAGCGATTTTAATCTCATAGTTCAGGGGAAGACAAAGAGTGTATACACCGACGCCACTGTGATCGATTCTGAGCCATGTCACCCACAGTCTCCAACCATTGGTTACGATAGTCACGCGGACCCCAAACAAGTAGTCTGCATCCACCAACATGGCTCAGACTAGACGTTAGTAACTTCAAGCACTGATGTCACGTTTTGGTTTGGCCGTCCCTAACTCTTTCCCATTCATCTCCAATACTGGTGAGCATTACGCGTTGTAGTGATCGGTGTTCAGGCGTACGCAACACGTGACCCAAACATCTCACTCGATGGAGATTTACAACCTCATCAACTGATTTACCATCATTCTCTAAGACCCTGAGTCTAACCTCACTATTACTTACCCGGTGATCACAGCGGATGCGAGCAGTATTTCTAAAATATCTATGATCAAATACTAACAATTTACGAGTATCTTCTACTCTTAATGATCACGTTTCGCAGCCGTCGCTCGGTGCTACCATTTTATCAGCGTCATCACCAAACCATTTAGTATGGTTAATTTGCACAAAAGTGACAGTAGAACAAGTCTACACCTGCTTTATAAAATTAAGCATGAAGAAAGGTTCAAACTCATCACAAAGTAGTCTGACCCTAAATTCTGCACCATCAAACCACATTTTCACTTATGCAACGACTAAACCACTGTCACAACACAAACATCTTCCACCCCACACACCAATATTGGCATCTTTACAGTTTCCCTCTTACAATACAGAAATAACACGGGCAGCATTCTTGCAAAATATCACAAAAACAACGCATGTTTAGTCACCCACCCGCACTAAGAGCACCAAAATCCAACTGATCATTTTCCGATATGACGTTCAAATCCTCTTCTGAATCACATCTTTCCAGGCTATTCACGTACAAAGGTTCTTCAGGCTCTTGTGGCTTTATATATTTGTGAATTTTGGCTTTTTGGTTAACCACTTCCACAAGATCACGAGTAGATAAATTGACCTTGCAGTGTGATTGGGAACGTCTCCACAACAAAAGGCTACAAGCAGTGATCGGTTGAATTCTACGATAATAAAGCTTTAACACAGTTAGAACTCTAGATAAAAACATACCGATGATTTCAGTAGATTACAAAGTTTGGAGCAACCGATGATCATTATCGGCACTAAAATCACTAGATACCAAAGTAGAAATCAACAGATACATTGATGCATATTGTGCAGTAGCCAAAACAAAAATAAAACTTAACAACACTTAATTGAACTAACCATTACGAAAACTACGCGGAAATATAACAGCTGAGCTTGTCAACTAATCCTCTATCTCACAGATATTTTGATAACAGAAGTGAAACGGCTAGCATCAAATGAGGTCACTCTCTGATAGATATCCCATCATAGAACAGTTCAGTGAGGGAATCGAACCTATCCTCTATAACGTAAACTATTCACACAAATATGTAGTTGGTGTTTTGATACCGAGTCTATCAATTCAATAAAATGACAAGAAGTGGGTGCATAACTTACACAATCCTGCTCATCACATAATCATTTTCACTCTCTTGTACAGGGTAATGGTCAACAATATACTGGAACTAGCTCACATTTCATACTTCATTCAAAACTTCAATATACAATATTGCAGTATGTAAAACTTAGTCGAACTTCCATGAACAGAACCAGCATGTCTAAGGGCAGTGGTCGAACATTTGGAAAGTAAAAATTCGTCACAGAGGCTCAATTACATCTAGTCCTTATCATCTTCAGCACACACCATCTAAAAATCTTAAACATTTGCTTTTGAACATGCTCCTGAATTTCACCTCTTCAGTCCGACGGATATGATTATTTTTCGTTTCCTTTTTGTGTCATTAATTACTCACAAAGCATGGCAACTTCGAATGGCGTATACGTATGCCATGCCTCAACTGAATAAACCTACGTATTCTATTCGTCACCATGTTGGTTCCCGCCAAATCGTTTATTTTCCAACTTCTTGCTGAAAAATTATTATACGATGTTCACATTTATTATCCTTCTAACATTCTTACTTCAGGATAAGACATACCTTTATTTGGTGAGACTGTTATTTGTGGACGACCACTGAGCTAAGCTAGGCTGACCTTGAGAGTGCCCATCTAATATCTATGACCAAATGAAGGTTCTAAAGATGTGTGAGGAATCATAATCATATTTTACAGTTGATGATTAACGTTAAGAATTACACTTCGGGTTTTCATCACGAACTTACATCAGCTGTAATGCCAAAACTCTAGTTAACCAAACTGGATGAGTGAATTTCGCGCCAATATCCGAGGCCTATTATCTTATACCTTATTGGTTCGTCCATAAATCATAGTCTTGCCATGGGGATTTTCACCATACTGAAGCTGATTAGATATTCATACCTACCGCATGTTTCAATCTACGCATATTATCAAACACCCTCATATGGTGCAAATTACAGTCTACTACAATATCATTATCCTACATATTTTATAAACACCTTTAGAATATTAGTCATACAATTCTGTAGACAATAACTGCCAGTATGCACTACAACTAGCACCTCTCTATTCAGTGATCTTCAAATACACTTGGTTCGTTCATGACCTGGATAACCAGATATTTGAATCAATGATTCGTGGGCGAAACGACAATAACAGTGATCCTACGGGTAAACATGAACTTAAGCTATTCAAGCTATGTAAATAAGATAAACCAAAGATCGATCAATAATCAGGTTTTGAGACCAGAAACATATAGCCCCATGAAGTCATTTACTTTTTAAGTCCTATAACCTGTTACATTACAAGCACTTTCGTACTAACGGATTTTGGACTGGTCATGTAACATACTTGTACCTAAAGACTAACCCCATGGCACCAGGGGCAGCAGAATAAAGTGAAATAATAGTGCAGTCTCAGTCATATATTTTCATGACATTTTAGAATGGTACATAACCACTAGAAAAACTATTTAAAGTCCTTCTTAGATAGTAATGAAATAATCAGAAGCATGACTCAGACATTCAGAAATACAAACAGGGGACATAAGCCACAGGCGCAGACTCCAGTTCCGCCCCAACTGATTGACCCGCTTTCTCAATATCCAATGTTCAAAATGGTTCAAATGGTTGTGGACGAAATAGAAGAAGCTTTCGCTCAACAGGCTTCGTGTCTAATAGCAGAGGATCACGAATAACTCCAGGCAGGAACCTGGGTATATTATTATTAATAATGGCTTTATTCAATGTTATATTTTGGTACAATATAGAAATTCTCAGTACAGGGTATTTCAACAAATTACTTACGCAAGAAAACAGCAACAAATACAAAAAAGGTTTAAAAAAACCGAAAAACTGTACAACTTTTAAAATTGAAGACATGTTAAGAATGCAGGTTATTGACTAGGTTAACTCTAACAACCTGTTCGTCACAGAGTATATTTGCTAGGTAAGGTATTATAGAACTTTTATACTTTTGCTTTCATGCATGGATTTTAGTGTAATTATGTGCCGTTATATCAGATGATATACAAGGAAAAAGATATGAGTGAAGGGGATGGTTAGCATCTGATAAGATAACCCTGCCAGGAGTTTGCATGATTTTAAATGTCTATCCACAACCATATTAATTATGACCTCAAAAGATTCACCACACATCTTGCTAACTGCCTTCGGTACTCTCCGCAATACAGCAAAGTCTTTTGTCAAAAGCTCGGGAAAAAATGATGGAGAACAATAAAGAATAATAGGTAATATGCAAGAATTGACAAATTGTAAGAGTAAATGACGAGTAATCCTAAGAGCATGCAATCTCTTTATGTAGTAAGTCAGACGGAAAACCTTCTTCGATAACAGAAAATATAAGAAGACCAAGAGAGATCCGAGGAAAAGGTAACACCAAGATAATTGACCTTCGACACCGTGTTTATCAAAGGGTCTTCAATAGCACAAGCATTATGGGATCTCAAAATGGTGTTTAGATCCCGTTCATGTCTCATGCTAAAGTTAACAGCTTGACACTTGGACGAATTAAGTATGAGACCATTACCAACAGACCAACAATCACTACGAGACAAAAACTCATTCATTTCTATGGAATGTAAAGAGGAAGAGATAGGCATACATACAGTGAGATCATCCGCATATTTCACAGAAGTGTTTTCTGTGGAAGATGGCAGATCATGCAGAAAAAAAGGGAAAAGAAGAGGTGAAAGAACAGCTCCTTGTGGTACACCTTCATGAGACAGTAGAGACTCTGAACACTTTCCTCCAAATAAATTTTACTGTTCGCTTCTAGAGAGGTAGGAACATAGCAATTTGGTTATCCAGCTGTCAGTGTTGACGCTGATTAACTTGTTAAGTAAACGTTGCCTTCGTGTAGAATCAAAAGCTGAAGTATAGTCCATAAAAGTGCGTCGAACATATTTCTTACCCTTTTCTAAGTTGAACACTATATTGTGATGCCGAACAGCAACAGAATCCAATGTGTTTCTTTTGCATCTGTAGGCAAACTGATATGGATTAATATGCTCTTTTTTCGCAGGCTGAAATGGAAGTATTAATAATTTTTCCATTGTTTTGAGGGAGGGTGAAGTTATTGCAATAGGTCTAAATTTTACATTTTTATCACCAGGTGCTTTCTTGGTTACAGGAATTATCTTCATCATTTTCGGCATGAGATTAGATGAGAAGGATCTGTTAGAGATAGTTGTGAACGGATAACATAAGATGTCAGTACATTTTTTAAAAAGGATGTTTGGGATACCATCAGGTCCTAAACATCGAGATGAATTAACTGACTGGATACATCTTCAGACATCAGTTTCAGTGAAAGTAGGAACACAGCTATGCTTTAAACCCGTAGATAAAGGGAGCATCACATCAGATGACTGACGCACAAAAGACTTGTTTAAGTCGCACACATTCAGCTGGTTATCGCTTCTAAACTTACTGCCACCTGTAAATTCTTTAAAGAGTTTCCACATACTTGGAGAGTTTTTGCAAGACAAGAGTTTTTGAGTAAACATAGAGTTCAGACGTCTAATCTTTAGGTTTATCAGATCATTTAGCTTAAGTACTTCATTAGAGTTCTTCTCCTTGTACATTCTTTCTTTTACCCTTCGTAGTCGTTTTAGTTGTGAAGATGTAAGTCGATCAAAACTTACAAAAATGGTTTCAGTGGGACAACAAATATCAAAACAGACTTTAAGGTAACAAGTGATAACATCAGTAGTGATTTCCAGTGAGTCATCTGTAAATAATTCCCAGTTAGTCGTATTAAATATGTTTTGCAGATTTCGGATGTTTTCTTGTAATTCATATATTCGACTATTTTGGTTCCATGTAAGAGTGTACTCTTCCCATACATTCCATATACTTTGGGTAGAGCACGAATTATACAGTGATCCGAGCTAGACAATGGGGCACGCTTACGAGTCGCATATATACCCACATCATCAATGAAAACGAAGTCTAAATGAGCAAACGGGTAGGAAAATCTGTGGAACTATGGTCTACTATGATATTAGTACTGCTCTAATAATAGACCTAATCCTAAATTTGTAGATTCGTCATGATATAACTGCCTAATCTATTAGATCTTACGTGGAAGTCACATCATCGACTACACCAACTCACTGTATCGTATCAATTACCAATACGTGATGTAGAACAAGGTTAGGCTAGAGAAAGAACAATATATTTAATATGAATAGAAGATATAAGGTAACATTCAGAGGGACCACGCCTGCATGGCCGAGCCATGCCATTCAATCAACTCTAATTCACCCAATTCATTTTTCGCGCCTTCTCCATTCTTAGGTATTTCTCCGCGTTAAATATTGAATATCTATTTTCCGAGTAATCTCGTATTCAGCTTTGAAGATTGTGTGGTTATGGTCCAGTACCACTACAAATACTCTAGACGTGTTGATGACACGTTTGGTGATTATGTAGTATGTATTTCTGACAGAGCGGTTACATACCATTTTTACAGGCCTGACCAATAACTTTCAACAGTGATATTAGAATAAGATGGTTTCGAAGTTGGGCTCTTAAACAGATAAAATCAATGGAACAAATCTGGGTCTATTCGTGCAGACATATCAGAGAGTTAATAATTAGGCCTAGATGTTAGTATTGTGCTATGAGTACAATTTTGCGATGTTTCTAAAATAGCATCGTGTACAAGTTAAAGCACGGACGTGCTCACATCAGGTCTAAACTCGGTATTATTGAAACAGAATTCTGGTCTTCTTGAGTATTTATATAATACAACATCTTAATTAATTTATGCTCGATATAATGTACATATTAAATCCTCCTGGAGTCCCACCGGGGGCTACTGCAGATCCCAAGCCCGCATAAAGGGGGAGGGTTGGGCATGGGGTTAGCGTCCCCATCCCGTAGAAAACTAACTCGCTAGAAAACGCTAACCAGAAAAAATTATTCGAACCTTTTAAACTCTGCCCGGGGAGTCAGAAGGTCTTCTTTTAGAAGAACTATGGCGCCTCATGATGAAAGCCGAATTCCTTCGGGAGTTACGAGGCCGATGCCCCTTCTGACAACCAGAGCAACCATTTATTTAGGTACATGGAATGTTCGCACAATGTGGGACACCAGGAGAGCCTTCCAAGTCGTTGCAGAAATGAGAAGGTACAACCTGAAGGTACTTGGGATCAGTGAAACACACTGGACGCAAGTTGGACAACAACGACTAACTTCAGGAGAGCTTCTGTTATACTCCGGCCATGAAGAAGAAGATGCCCCACATACACAAGGAGTTGCATTGATGCTGTCCAAACAAGCGCAAAATGCACTTATAGGATGGAAATCTCATGGACCAAGGATCATCAAAGCCTCGTTCAAAACAAAGAAAGAGGGCATTTCAATGAACATCATCCAATGCTATGCGCCTACCAACGATTACAATGAAGACGCTAAAGATGAATTCTACAATAGGCTGCAGTCAATCGTCGAGAAGTGCCCAACAAAGGACCTGACTATTCTGATGGGAGATCTCAATACCAAGGTTGGAACGGACAGCACTGGATATGAAGACATCATAGGGAAACATGAACTGACTGGGAGAAAGGAACGAAAATGGTGAGAGGTTTGCAAACCTATGTGCCTTCAATAAACTGGTCATAGGCGGCACCATATTCCCACATAAACGCATTAACAAAACCACATAGACTTCACCGGATCACACTACTCAGAACCAAATCGACCATATCTGCATCAACAAAAAGTTCAGGAGGACAATAGAAGATGTGAGAACCAAGAGAGTAGCTGATATAGCATCAGATCACCACTTGCTGGTCGCCAAGATGAAATTGAAACTCAAGAAGCACTGGGCAATGGGGCGGACAATATCACAAAAGTTCAATACGGCCTTTCTTCAGGATACTAATAGACTCAACAAATTCAAGATAGTCCTCAGCAATAAGTTCAGGGCCTTTCATGATCTACTCAATGGAGAAGGAACTACTATGGAGAGCAACTGGAAGGGGATCAAAGAGGCAATCACTTCAACATGTTATGAGGTCCTGGGTCACAAGAAGCACCATCACAAGGAATGGATCACTGCTGATACATTGGGTAAGATTCAAGAAAGGAGGAACAAGAAGGCAGCAATCAATACCAGTCGAACAAGAGCAGAAAAAGCCAAGGCACCAGCCGAATACACAGAAGTAAACAATCACGTGAGAAGGAGCATCAGAACTGGCAAACGTAAGTATGTGGAAAATTTAGCAGTGACGGCGAAAAAGGCTGCAAGAGAAGAAAACATGAGACAACTGTATGACACGACAAAGAAACTCTCTGGAAATTACCGTAAACCAGAACGACCAGTGAAAAGCAAGGAAGGCGAGGTAATCATCAACATTGAAGAGCAACAAAACAGGTGGGTAGAACACTTCAAAGAACTCTTGAATCGACCAGCCCCTCTGAACCCACCCAACATCGAAGCAGCACCCACGGACCTCCTAATCGATGTTGGTCCACCAACAATCGAAGAAATCAGCATGGCCATCAGACAAATCAAGAGTGGCAAAGCAGCAGGACCAGACAACATTCCAGCGGAGGTACTAAAAGCAGACGTAGCGGC